AACACTCTCTCACAAGGGCTCAGCTAACTTCGTCGACCTGACTCTTGTCCGAGTTGCTCTGAAATGGTCACTCCCGACCGACGAACGTCCCGACCCAGGAGATACCTTCCATCGCACAAAGGAGAGCAGTGAGCTGGCTCAGATCCCGACCAATGTCAGCCAACATTTTTTCCCGAGGGCGCGACCACCTCACCATCCTACTCACCCCACAAGAAGCTCCCGACATTAACCCGTGGACCTAACCATGCTGACTAATCAACCACAATACTTTTGTTCACTAACAAATAACATATTTATCCTTTAATATAGAATATATGTCCCTCCAGATAATAAGATCATGTGAGATCCCGTCGGTATGCTTGGGTAAACCATTTCCATAAACATCAGTTAATTTTAGTTAAACAAATATGTATAAAGATATAAACTCTCAATGTTTTTTTCATCACAAAGAGTTTCTAAAGAGTATCAATACCCATTATGGTTTCATTTCATATGCAAGTTCTTTTATATTCGGTTATTATATATATATATATATATATATATATATATATATATATATATATGCGCACAATTATGTGTTTCTTTTTTACTATTTAAACCAAAAGGATTTTAGGGTAGGGGTAGGAAGAAAAACAAAAAGGTGATACGGTGAATGAGAAGCCTGCGTTTCTATCAACTTGTAAAGTGACTGATGATTGATTGTCTGTCTCTATCATTGGTTACAAAAACAATAATAATATATCTGGTAGGTACTTCATGATGGACACACTATCATTATATATGAAGAAGCATAGCACCAGGCTGTATCCCACCAGAATCCACGAACAAATGGGTCTCTTGGAGTAAAAGATAAGTTAATGATCACTCTAAATTTATAATAAATACAAGTTGCGTGAACTGATCACCCCATTCACGAGCCGTACTAATACATCTTTTGTCCCAACTCACCGGATAGGCATCAAGCAAACGCTGGTGTGCATAGTGAACCCACCAAACGTTGGTGTGCAAAGCTGGCGCGCATCATGAATGATAGAATCCTAGAGGAATTATATAGATTGATCTTTGAGAGAGATCACTCGAAATGCTACAGGAGTTCCTGCAATTGTAGATAGATCTTACTCGCAAAGAGATGGAAGTTACGTACTTATATAAGGCTCCAAATCCTAGTCCTAAGGATTATTTCTTAAGTGAGTTATCTCTTTTATCCTTAACTCTAATCAACTAACACAAGGGACGACGGTTAGAAAGCCTAATAGCTCAAATATAAACCTTAACTATTTTTCTTTGTAGGATAAAGACGACTAGGTGTGGATTTGTTACGATCCGACTGCATTCCATAGGTTTGTGGGCAGTTTCTGAATATTCATGTTTAGGTGAAATATCGATTCATCGCCTAAATCTTTATTGTTCTCGATTGTGGCCTCCTTTTGTTTCGATCGACAGAGAAAATGAACGTATGTCGGTGTTGATTGAGATCCTAAACGTCACACTATTCTTTTATAGATTTTGCATTATGTAGAAGCAGAACTCTCTCCTCATTCGGACACTAAAACAATAGCCGGATCGGATCATTCTCATCTCGCGCTACTAGTTAGTTTGTTCTCTCGGAGACCAAGGCATCATATCATGAGATCGAGAACGAGGGAACGAACTTGGCATGGGATGGATGGGGCATACCTTGATGGTGCCGGCTTCTTTGATGGCTTCCACGAGTTTGAGCTGTTGCAGAATCTGATCGCCCGCGATCGTCGACACCACCACGTCCACTTGCTTCAGCGCCGAGATCAGGCTGTCGCGATCGTCCAGCGATCCCTGCGATCGAGCAGCCGCGCGGAGATGCGAGACATCATCAATTGCGCGCAAGAGTAGCGCTTGAAGCAGCAGATCAAGGATCTGTCGATCACCTGAAGAAGCTGCGCGCCCTCCATCTTGAGCTCCATGAGCATCTGGCACCTGGCGAGATCTGAGGCGGTGTCGGGGCGGAAGAGGAGGAAGGTGGGGTGGCCGAGAGCCAGGCTGGCCTTGACGAGCCTCCTCCCCAGGTACCCAGTCGCACCAGTGATCAGAACTCGATCCTTTGCCTCCGCCATCACGCGCTACCGCTGAGGTAGGGAGAAGGAGAAGGATCCACCGGTCCAACGGCCACCCACTTAAAGGAGGAGGGTAGAATTTAAGGGTGCGGACGTGAATAAGTATATGATCAGATCGGATCAATGGTTGATCGAGAAGAAACAGAACACATATATGATTGGTAGGATCAACATACACCTTCTCAATTTAATTTGAGAAGGAACAAGTATATATCAACTGTCTGCTTTGGGACCGAAGATTACGCCTTCTCAATTTAATTTGATTCAAATGTTTTTCTTCTCAGAAGCAGTAGGGTCAGGATTCAATAGTCAAGACGGGTGTTGTCTTCTCAGGTTCTGTAGCTGCAGTGCCAACAGTGAGTTGTCTCTTATTTCCTCTCCCTCTTTTGATGCGATGAAACTCTATATGTTCTTGGACATTTGAAATCTTCAGCCAATGTTCGGTTTGATTTAACACTTTGGCATTAAGAAAATCTATTATAAGTTTGCACCATGTCAGTTCATTTCCCTGTCCTCAAACTTGGTTTACTACTCCAACAAAAGACTTGCCTGAATCGCACTGCCCAGGCGCTCATCATATCATCATCAGGTAATGTGCGCACAAGTGCTTTGCATATAACCAACCTGCTGCTGTTTTTAGCTCATCATCAACAACAAATCTCTAGCGCACATGAGCAGAATGGAAATTATCGATGATATTATTCTAAGCCTTTGGCTGATCATATATGTGCTTACGAATTTATTTCTCCGAGTGAAATTGATTTCCCCTTAATCTGTTTGCTTTTTCTTCTGTATGGCAACACCTTGTTCTATCCCGAGTCATAGCAGCAGACTCGAGCATTTATTAAAATGCAAAGATCAGGACATGGACATACGTATTTACCTTACAACTTATCAAACAATCAGCCTCGCTCACCTTCTACTTTAGACACTGAAGTTGCCAAACTATGACTCGTTGTAACCATGTGTATCCGCAGGAGTCTATGATCCAATAAATAGCTCAAATTTCTTAGTTGACAAAATGTATGTTTTATTTAATATAACTCAAACGAATTAGCATCACACACTTTGAAATAAGACCCATTAGCTATTATGCAACAACCCCCGTAATTTTATTGAATTTGAATCATCATCAAATTTTTATAAATCAATTTTAATCTTAATACACCCATCAATTGTGTCTAAATTGTGTCTAAGAGTGAATTCACAAGTTTGTTGAGACTACAACCAGTAGATCTATTCCCTTTTTTGACTCGGGCACTAATCCTGTTGACCGAGCCACTCAACTCAGGCACAGACACAGACGACTCGGGATCTTTATTTTGGGAGAAATTGTCAGGTCATACATAGTTGTGCATTTGAACTTGTCATGCACGGCAGATGGAAACAGATGTCTTGTCTCGATCAAACAACTTTAAAAAGAGCTCCATCTATTCACTCATTTCCTAAAGTCATCTCTACCGTGCGGAGCCTCTGAGAAATCAAGTGTGACGAGAATCTTGTGAAGGCTTGTGATGTTGTAGTATAATCTGGTTTAAAGTTTGAACACATTTGTTCACTGTTGGAAGAGTTCATCACCTTAGGGTGACTATCGTTGCTGTTTGGAACAATTGGGAGGATTGATAAGGCTGTGTAATGATATTAATCTTCACAAGGATGCAAGTAGCAAGTTTTTTATGAAACATGCGCAGGCTAGAAACGGGGGGAAATGCTAGTTTTTCATTTCAGATAACGTCTGCATGCAGAATGACCACTTCTTTCTAACAACAGGGGGAAATGCTCTGTGTATACCCATCCTTGGTTTTCCTGATTGATCACCAAATTCAAGGGGGGGGGGAAAAAGGATGACCTTACATCATTCGTTCTATAGAGATAGCAATACAGTACGTACTGTTGTTTTCCAATCTTAGCATCATACTGGAGGAGCCAAAATGATGACCTAATTAATAGACAAAAATGAATCCATCAAATTGCTTGTAAGCAACAAAATGATGGTACAAATTATCTATGGGTAGCATCTCAATGGTCAACCTAACCAAGCAAAGGCATTTACCATCGGGAGAGAACAAAAACTTATGGCCATTTTATCTCCTAATTGATCGTTATCATTAGAAACAAATCCAACAATAAGAGTCGAAAACTTTCAAAATAGATCGATCTCTCTTGCAACTTTCAAATATATATATATATATATTTTGGTCATCGACAACACCAAAACAAGCCATCCACCATAGTCTCCAATAATTTAACCGTCGATCATAATTTCTATGTCAAAACTGCCAGATGCAAGCAATGAAGAAAAAGAATCTCATATACTAACCTACACGTCAGGCTCCTCGGGCAATTCTTCTTCGATGCCGACGCTGATGTCTTCATGCGTAGTCGCTCCAACGGAGGGAGCTTCGCAAATAATTCCAGCGAACGGCATCAGAGACCCGGATGCTCGAGAGAAGAAAAGAGGAGGCAAAGCGAGATGAGGCGACCAGAGCTCTCGGCTGCCGCCACGCCAACCGAGGGTGGCGGCGAGCCGATCGTGGAAGAGGAAAAGGAATCCGATGGCGATGGGGAAGGCTCGGGCGGCGATCGTCGTAGCGGGGACGGCCAAGTGCCAGAGGAAAGAGGGGCGCCCAGATTCGAAGTCCACTCATTTACGAATCATTTTGGGCCGTAAATGTAAATACGGGCCCACCAAGGTGAACCGACATTTTTTAGGCCACGTGTCCTTTCGGCCTGCATTTTTATCCGGCAACACAAATGCATTTTGTCGATGGAAATTTCTGAGAAAGATCGATTGCTATTCGCAGGTACGTTTGTGAAAAAGATACGAGTATGTATTCAGACAAAGCAATCGATCAGATGGAATGGCAGAAAGAGTAAGTAGCATTCAGATTACTCTGCTGATATCGGCTCTGACAAAACAAGCTCGGACGTTACCTAGAAAGTAACAAAGGTTGTTTTATTGAAAAGAAAACTGTTCTGCAAAATGAAAACAAAATGCTGATGCCACCACAACAAACCAAAAGAGTGAACTATACAATTATTATGAAGCCAAAAGCTTCGGCAACCAAACCAAACGACCATACATTGATTGGTTGCCTCCTGTCCTCGGTCTCATCTAGTAGTGCTGGTAAAAGGAGGAAAACTTATGATCCTGTAGGAACTCCTCACCTCTCCTGCAGCAATTGACATGCATGAGATGGGTTTTCTTCTCTGTATCTAACAAGCATGGATCTCATGAAACCGGCTCGCAACGGCCTGGCTACTGCCAGAGGATTTCAAGGAAGTGCATAGGCAGCAAAGCCTCCTCATCACCATTCTTGTTCGTGCAGGCACAATGGCGGTCGTCACAGTTGATGAGAGACTCCCATCTTCACAAGCAATCATAAAGGTTTCATATCCTTCTAGGTCTGCCTCGGTTATCAGAACTTCATCCCCTCCGATGGGACTTTCTGTCATATGCTTCACAATCGTGGGACTGGCTTCAGCCATCTTACATGATGAGATGCTGAGGTCTTTAGTATCCTCGCCAACATTGTAACCTTCAAGATCAGCCTCAGATATCAACACTTCATCTCCTGTGAGCAAATCTATCGACCTTGGACTTCGAATGGCAGGGAATTCTAACTTGCACTGGCTGTACTGTTGGACAGCCTGGAAATTTTTATATGTAAACAGGTGAGCGAGGAAATAAAAGGGTAGTGAAACTCTTAAATGCAATAGCAAATGTCAATGAAGTTTCATTCAAGATGATGCCCAAAAATATCAGTGATCGAGTACCAGAAGTTAAATTGTTCAGTATGGCAAGAATCTTCATAGCAGTTATACTGGAAACAAGATTCCTCTTTGTTCTCTTAGAGTTACTCAACTTCATACAAACAAAATAAACAAGTTGATCCAAAATGCAACAAGATGTCCTCCCAAGTTTATTGTGTCAGGCTACCCATATGTGTCCAATACAATAGCAAACTAGCCAATTTTAAGTTAGGCCATGCAGCTCTCTGCATCAGATGCACTATTGGTCTGTTGAAACTTGAAAGGCTGTTTCCCTATGGTCAGCATAATAGTTTGAATATGTTATAATGCACAAAAGTTAGATGAACACAGCAGTTGACTTTTCTATTTCCAACTATAATGTTGACAACTTTGAGAATGTGATTAAAATCACAAAGTGGCAGATATACATATGAAGTATAAGATATATTATTTATTTAAGATAAATCATAAAGTGAACGGAGAAAAGGCAGATCTAGCTCGTAAGCTGCACTGCAATGGAGCTTAATGTTTGTACAACAAGATCCAACAAAAATAACATAATTTTCATGGAGTAAAATGAATTAGTGCTTATGATTCACACCTTCCACTGTGATGGAGCTAACAGAACTCTGGGTCTTATTGACTGCACATACTCCAGAGCGGCTGTGGGTGTCATGTTCTTATGCTGCACCTGACATTGTAACATAATCACAATTATCACTATGTTATATCATTAGGAGTAATAGATCAGCTAATCAATATTCCATACAATTTATAAGTTTAAGAATGAAAAGGTACCAGATAGCATAGGACAATTGTCGTGCTTCGTCCCCTTCCAGCTTTGCAGTGAACATATGTGGTTCTCCCACAGGATGCATTCCCTAAAGAAGGTTGAAGCTTTTATCTCATTCAACAATTCTACATCTAAAAAGAAATTGAAATACGGACAGAAACTTAGTTTTGACAAGACTATATATGAAATATTATACAATATCATGCACATAATCTGACATCTATGTTTATCCAAGTATCACTTCAGCAAGGAGAATACACACACACACACACACACACACATATATATATATAGATATACATGTACATATATATACATACATATACATATATATATTATGAAATTATGCTGAAATGGTGTTTGACGAGTGTGTGGGTTGTGGATACATATCCGGCATGTCTCGTAGGTACAAATGCAATGCTCCATGTAACACTGCCACTATGACCAGCTTAGACTCCATATACCTTAACTCACCATGTGTCACTAAACAATTATTATGCCACAGAGATTTTAATAATATAGCAGTGAAATTCCTTTGAGTGGAATTAAAGATAAGCATTCTAAAACAGGGTTCCCTTCCATTTATAGTTTTATTCTCGCTGACAGCAGGCTCCATTATTCTTACTATTCATAAGGATATAGATAAGACAGAATCCTTACTATGAATGAAATCAACAGCTCGATATATGTCGACAAGTGAAGGTGCAAAGAGGTAATCTCTTGTAGGAATCACTAAATGATCGATTCCGTGAACCTGAAAATAAGGAAGAAAGGCAATGAATAACAACAAATACATTAATGAAAAAACAGCTGAATGATGAATGAACGAATGCATTAATAAATGAAAATTTGAATGACTCATTGAACGAATGAGTGAGACAATATACAGTGTGTGGCAAGACATTCCATGAATTAATTACAGAATGTTTTGCCAAGGAAAACAAGGTCAAAGAAATCACTTTAAGACCTTATTATTGAATTAGAATTCAAAAAGATTAGTGTGGTAATTGCAATATATGTTAAATCTCGTTCAATCTCCTGAAAGGACTGACCATGTTCACCTTTGTAATCCTATGGCTAGTATAAAATTACATATTTGTAAATATTTCAGCTGGACCATCAGACTTCACTGCACAGCCAATGCACAAAGAACCACAAAATGTATGAATGAAGGGTATTACCATATGGCAAAATGGATAAGTCGTTATTAAACCATTTAGACTATATAGTAATTCTCAAGTTGAAAATGCATTTCTAGAAGTAAATGCATTCAAGAAGGCAAAAGTCACCATGTATAAGGATGATGGGACCAAAGTCTCGTAAGGTTCGTTCAGGGTGATGACACCTCGAACTCCAAGCTGCTGCAGGCGAGGGACGTCGTTGGGAAATGGAACAGCACCGAGTAGTAGAAACTGAAAAATGTCCAAAGAGTGGCAAATATTAGTAAGCAAAAGCCTTTCAGTCCATCGGATTATTAGATATCTCAACAGCATAAAAATGTCCAACAATTAATCCACCACTATATTGTAAGATTGCATGCATCGTGATGCTAAACACAAATTTTCCCTAAGATGCATACTCAAAGTGCTATTGGCAATAGGTATTCGTATATGGCAGTATCCTAAGAATCAAGAACCACCACAGAAAAAAAATCATTGCAGTGATGGGAACTCCGGACAGGAAAAAGGAAATAAAGGCATGTGTATAGCATGAAAGAATACCTGATCAATTTCATCCCACCAATGGAACTCGGCCTGAACTTTGTTCCTGATTACATTGTAAATAAGGGTCGGATAGAAAAGGATCCGAGCGCCCGCGCCAACTAACGCTCGCTTCGCCTTAACCTTCGCAATCTCGCCACCGCGGGAATCTTTTTCTCTCCCGTCCTCCAACTCGACGATCCTCATGTTAGCCGAGTAAAGATTAGCTCCCTGCTCGATTCTTCCTCTCGGACCGCGGTAGCAACGGCACGACACTAGAGCCGATCACTTTGCATCAGTCATCAGTCTAACCATTCCAGTCGAAGGCGGATCGAAGGAAAGCCTCGACGACTGAAGCCATGGAGGAGGCAGAGCTCTAATGGGGCGTAAACTTTAACGGATTGGAGCAAGGATTACCTCGAACGGGAGCGCGGAGAGCGGATCCAGATCTGGGGAGAGTCGCACAAGAATACAAGAGAAGTGGCGAAGATTTCTCCCTCCTATATTAAGCCGCTTCGATCCCGGGATTGGACGAGGCCAACGAGGAAGAACAAGGGACTCGTACCACTGGGGTCGGCGAGAGCGCTCGCTATACCCGCTGTTGCTTTCTGAGATCATTACCCCCGGACTAAATCCACCCTAATGGAGTGGATAAAGCCATTGGCGGAGTCTCCAACTCTCCCAGGCTCTAACAACCACGATCGGAGGCGTCCATAGATGATCCAACGGCAGGCGACGGTCGTTCCGGGAATAGAATCAGTCGTGGGGTCTCTCGTGTCCGGAAACTCGACTGTCTGTTCCGTATTCGTAGACGGGTTTTAGAACTGCTCGAGTTATGTCCCGTGGCCAAGAGAATGGGGCCCGATCAGCCAATCGGACAGATCCATAGCTCGATCGCCGACGCGGTAATCGCCTTGGAACAACTGTGGGGCCCACGACTGGACTTTTGTACATAAAAGCGGATGGGGCCCAAGGAGGACGAGGCACGGGATTACTGGTGGCCGTGTGAACGCACCCGAGGAAAACATGATCCGACCGTGTGAACGCAGTGGGATGGATCTCTGTGTGTGAAGGCACTGGAGAAAACTACGAGCCACGGTCGGGGCTTTTTCCCACACCGGTGGGGCACGACGTCCTACGTAATCAATATCCCAAACAGGCGCCACCACCTACCCGCTGGCCTCACCTGCTCGACGCACGTCTCCTTGCGTGGCGATTGGAGAATCCGAGTGGATCCCAGCTGGGCGACGCGGGCGAGGATCCGGCGAGCCAATGTCGGAATTCTGGGTTTGGATGATTCGGTGGGCGGCAGCTGGTTGGAACTCGATGCCACGACGAAAAGGAGGACCAGGGGGGCCCGAGACAGGACGCTGGGAATCGAGATTGGGCGGTCACGATTGTTTGATGGGAACCAGTCGCACATCTCATCCCCGTCCACCAATTGTCGCTTCGACCATGCAACATGGCTTTGGTCTAATTTGATCGGAAGCAATCAGATTTAGGCTCGTGCCGAAGGTGACGACGAGTAGATGCGTCCACGTGCCCAAGCGAGTGTTCCGCACGTCATCCAAATAAGTTCATCATATGGCAATTATAGCACAGGAAAAGGCAGCTTTACGTAACTTTTTTTTTTTTTTTTTGCGACTTTTATATCTTTTCTAATGTTCAAGAACTTGTAAAAGTGCGTTGCCGGATCAATAACACTTAGCTGCCATAAAAGGAAAGTTCGAAGCCACGCCTCTATACTATTTATCGAATTCTTCTATGATCCTGCACGCTGATTCTACCGGCGCATCAACTATAATTCCCCGGTCAATAAAAGTGATATAAATGAAATACAAGAAGAAGATTCCACTGAGTTTGAAATAATACTCCCTATTTATAGGAAGGAACTGAGAAAAATTTACGGATGATTTACGGGTGAGAGGTTTCATGAGGGAGTCCGCTACTTGATCAACCGTATGTACGTAAAAAACACATAGTTAATGTCTGACAACTTGTTCTCGTACAAAGTAAAAGTCGATGGCTATGTGTTTCATGCGTGAGTAGAATACTGGATTAGCACATAGATAAGTGGCTCCGACATTGTCACAATATGTTGTAGGAGTAGATGTGATGTTGATGTCAAGTTCCTTGAGGTGATTCATGACCCAACTGAGTTCTGTAGTAGTGGTGGCTATGACACGGTATTCAGCTTCAGTAGTAGAACGTACAACTATCTTTTGCTTCTTATAACTCCAACTAATTGGATTAGGTTCAAAGAAGAGAATATACCTCGATGTTGATGTTTTGTCATCAAAATTCCTTGCTCAATCAGCATTAGCAAAGGCGTGGAGATGAATGAGGGAGTGTTTGCGAAAAAAAATGTCATGATTGATAGTCCCGTGAAGATATCGTAAGATTCATTTGACTATAGACCAATGCATAGTAGATGGTCGATGCATGAATTGAGATAATTTATTGACCGCAAATGAGATATCTAGATGGGTGAGAGATAAATACTATAAGGAGCCAAGGACTTCACGGTATTAAGTTGGGTCTGTAGTAGGGCTTCCATCACATAGTTTGAGCGACTCGCTAGTAAATAAAGGTGTTGTAACTGCTTTTGCATCTTGCATGTTCGTTTTAGATAATAGGTCTCGAATATACTTTCATTGTGATAGGAAAAACCCGAAAGATGTGTATGTTGCTTCCACTCCAAAAAAATAGCTCAAGGTTCCTAGATCTTTAAGGGAGAATCGATAAAATGCTTGAGGAATGCCTTGATTACTATAGGATTATTGCTTGTGACAATAATATCATCCATATATACTAGAAGATATATTATATTGCCGCTTTGGTGACGGAGAAATAAGGAGGTATCAGACTTGGAGTTGATGAAGCCAATTGATGCCAAAAATGAGCCAAGTTCGGTGTACCAAGCTCTTGGAGCCCAACGAATTCTATAAATAGTTTTTTACAATTTACAAACATGCTTTGAATGTTGAGGGTAGATGAAGCCAAGGAGGTTGCTGCATGAAGACATCGTCAGTTAGGGTCTCATGTAGAAAGGCATTGTTAACGTCGAGTTGACGTAAATGTCAACCTTGTAAGATGGTCAAACTAGAATAAGTTAGATTAGTGTGGGTTTAACAACAAGGCTGAATGTCTCTGTGAAGCCAACACTCGGATGTTGATGAAACCCTTTAGCCACTAGATGCGCTTTATATCTAGCTATAGATCCATTTGAGTTCCGCTTAATTTGAAAGACGCACTTACACCCGATGATATTTTGTATGGGATGAGAAGGTACAAGGGTCCATGTAGAATTATTAAGGAGTACATTATATTCTTCACACATGGCTTCATGCCAATATGAAGATTTTTTGGCTTGAGTAATTGTGGTAGGTTTAGGGGTCTTTGACAAGGATGTTATGATAGTATGTAGGTCAAGGATTTGTTATGGTTTAAAGACACTACTTTTGGAGTGTGTTGTCATTGGATGTCCAAGGACTATAGAGTGTGTTGTAGGTATGGGTGGTGGAGAGGCACTAACACGGATTAGGGTATGCTGAGGGACTTCAGTATCATTGGTCCTAGGAGAGGATAAAGATAGTGATTGTGTTTCCGAGGGTATGCCTTCAGTCGTAGGGGAACCTTGTGAAGAAGAAAGAGGCACAATGGAGGGGGTGAGGAGCTGTTGTACCGAGACAAGGAGAGAGTGTGGATCCTGAGGATAATTACTGAATGATATTATGGGAGACTCGGTTGACGGGATTGATGGCGTACTCCAGTGATGTATATGTGATGGAGTAGGTCGCACAGCAGGAGACTTAGGGTTGTGAAACGGAAAGGTAGTCTCTATAAAAATAATATGACAAGACGTAAAGACTTTTTGAGATTAGAGTTCATAGCATCGAAAGACATTATGATTAAGGGAGTATCCAATGAAAACACAAGGTTTAGATTTTGATGTTATCTTATGTGAGGTATAGGGACGGAGCCATGGATAACATAAACATCCAAACACTTTAAGTTTTTGAAGGTTTGAGGATTTATGAAATAATTTTTCAAATGGTAACTTGTACTCGATGACTGAAGTGAGTATACAATTAATGAGGTAGACAACAGCTTGAAATGCTGCAGTCCAAAAAGTTGGTGGTATAAAGGCTTGGTGTAGGAGTGTGAGACTAGTTTCAATTATATGTCGATGTTTGCATTCAGCAGAACTGATGAGTTTAGGAGTGTGTGGAAGTGACTTGAGGTGTTATATACCATAAGCAGATAGGTAGGATGTGAGGGCTTGATATTCGCCGCCATCATCGAAGTAAACAGTTTTAATTTTAGACTGAAAGAAGTTCTCGACGACGATGCCACACATTAGGTAGAGCTGCGACGGAAGAGTAGGCAACAGGCTGGGTGATTTGTGGAATTAACGACCACTCGTATATGTTGTCCTTACTCTAGCTTCGGACCAAGAATGCTCCCATGCTCAAGTCATTGACAAGAAAAGAGTTAGGAAAGAACTCAATTGAGGTATTATTTTGTTTGCAGAATTGAGAAATAGAAATGAGATTTCGTTTGATGTAGGGTGCACACAAAACATCATCGAGTGTAAAAATTGTGCTATGTGAATTGAGCATTGTGGAACCAGTATATGTAATGGGAAGTCTGTTACCGTTACTGATGATGATGTCTTCATTTCCCCCATAGTTGTTGTGGACAAACAAGTTTCGTAAATCAGAGGTACTGTGATGAAAGACGCCAGAGTCCACAATCCAATTTTGGTTGCTAGTATTCGGAATAGTTGTAAGATTTGCATGAGGCCAATGTGATAGAGGAAGTTTGGGTCGAGTTCTACGTACCTTTATAGAGTGGCCAAATTTGTCATATAATTGGCAAACAACTTTTTATTGATTTATATGATCAGATGCCAGGACTAAGGATAATTATAGTAGATTCCTTGATGATGATGATTGAAATGCGGAGGATGTGGATAGGGGGAGGTTTGGTTAGAGCCCATAAATTCAGGAGGCATGCTGGCCAAACCTTTGTTGATGGTTTTGTTGTATCAGTTACCCTTCTATGATTTTTGACTGACTTGAGCTGTGATGGATGAACCCGACAATTTGTCTTCACACTTGAAATATATCTCATAGTCAGTCAACTTGTCATAGAGTTCTTCAAATGACATCGGTGAGTCACGTGCCCGTATCGCTGGTGCCAGTTCCTTATACTCATCCCTGAGGCCATTAAGTGTGTGGATAATGACTTCTTCATCACTAAGATTATGTCTATCAAGGTCATGTTATCAATGATAACTTTGATATTTTGTAGATAATCAACAATAGTACTTCTCTCTTGTTTTGCTTGCATGAGACTAGATAGGAGACTGAGCAGGCGAGTACGTGAACGATTTGCCAAGATGGTTTGTAGTTTGCACCAGGCTTTGATAGCAATATCATATGAAGATATGAGTGGGTAAGGGATCCAATGACGGAAACTTGAATTGCTTGAACGATAAGACGATCTCGGCATGACCATAGTTTATGGTTTGTGGGCTGGGATGTGAGGAAGCGAAGGCCGTCGGGGTCCCACTTGGTATACTCCCTTAACTAGTCGTTGGAACAGTCCCACTTTGGGAGAAGCCGACGATGCTGTGGGC